AAATGCATCATTCTGTTCTGTTTTCAGTAGTTTACATACTAAGTCAAAGCAACGTATTCATATTGTTTTTCCAGATAGTTTTCCACTTATTTTTCCCTGATTAAATTATAATTAATGTTCTATGTTTTACTCTCCCTTCCTTATCCCTTTTTCTTTTACTTAGTTGATTTCTGAATGTTTCCCTTTATTCCTGTGATCTTTTCTTCATAGCGGCACTGTCTCGGTGAAGCTTTGCATAAATCTATCAGCAATGTAAGTGATTTGCACTTACAGCTTGTAAACAGGGCATGTTTGCACTAATAAATCTGCATATCCTGTAGCAGTCTGCTTTAGCCTATGAAATAGAAGACATGGTAATATTTGAGAGGAGAACGTTTGCCGCTAGTTATCAAAAGCTTGTGTACTGCATCCATTCATCTGTGTAAATGTATGCATCACCGGACATCAAACACTACATACATGGTCATAATATAAGCAGCATTTTTATGTTATTGTTAAAGCAAGCAAGCTTGTGGGCAGTGCAAATGTGTATTGCAGAGCTTTCTACAAAGCATGAGATTGATGCTGTATTATAATTTGCAGTTTTGCAGTGCAAGTCATAATTGTGCCAAAATATTCTTTCTTTCTATTTTTTTTATTTTAAAAATACTTACCAATGGTTTTAATATGCTAAAACCTTGGATAAAAGTATTGGAAGTTCAGAGTATAGTATTTAGAGCTGTTTTCTTTTGAATCGTCAATACAGGAGTATATAGAAGGGATGCTCCAAAAACGTGCAAAGGGAGGCACTAATGTTTTCAAAAATGTGCACTTAAGGATATCAATATATGTACTGAATAATCAAAATCATATTTAAAACTATGTTCTCTTCTAAAAATAACTGTCATATTTTTAATATTTGATGTACTTTCAAAATTATTGTTAGAAGGGTAGATTAATCTGACTTGCTTGTTAGAAACATTTAATCCTCATTGTCCTTTATTTTCTGTATAGTCTATTGATGCAAATGGGCATCCTCAGAGATTGACTCATTTCAGGCTGTAGTTTTGCAGTCACTTTAATCTGGTGGAAGTGTGAACTGTGCTTGAGAAAGGTATTCCTGATATCTTCTAAGATGGCTTCCTGGCCAGTTGTCAGACTTTTCTTGGTCATCTCAGTTAAAATGTTTTCTGCATTTCCAAGAAAAAAATGAAAAGAAAATTGTTTTGCCCTTGGCCCATGCTAAAAATGTTTATAAATGATATACTGAGAATTATCAGAATTTGGAGCAGGAACTTAAGTGAGAGAGAGATATAACTTCCAGCCAAAAATACGTTTTTTTTCATGTCATCTTAATAAAAATTTGGCTAAGATACCGTGGTTAACTCCATTTGAGTGTTACCATGACAGGCTTTTTAAAGTATGATGATTAAATTACTTGAGGTTCTGCAGGACTGAGCAGGACTTCCCCTAGAATTGTATCTCCTGGTGGCCATGGTGAACAGGACAGGGCAATGGTGAGAAACCTGAGGGACAGAGACATGGTGGAAGGGACAAGTAAGAGTGGACAGAACATCTGTCCAGTATCTCAGTGTTTCTGCCACAGGCACTCACAGGAGGAGGAAGAGGATCTGAGTGAAAATTGTGGGATTTCCTTCATACAAGATTTTTAAGCAGTAATTTGTGTTCCCACCTAGTGCAAAGAATTGGACTGAATAATCTCTTAAGACTACCCAAACTGCACATTCCTATGATACTGAAAATGGAGTTAGGAAGAAGAAAAAGAGCAAAGGAGGGGAGGAGGAGAGGGAGAGATACTGGAGTATGAGGTGGATGGAGGACAAGGAGTAGAAGGGCTAGAGCCAAGTAGCAGTAGTGGTCTCAGGGAAACAAACAAAAAAACCCGACAAACCTGAGAGTTTAGGAGCAGAGGTAATCTAAAGAAACATAAGAGTTACCTAAAAGCACAGGGGAAAAAACAGATCTCCAGACAGGGTCTGGTTTTCTCTAGGTGTAGTCTGGCAGAGAAACAGGAAATGAAGGCAAGTCTTGCAGGTGAAAAGAAGGACACAGGTAGGTATGAGGTTACAGAAAGGTGGGGAAGGAGAGAAGGGTCCAACAGTGAACGTGGGATGAATTAGAGTAGATGGGGATGTGAGTAGATCAAAGGGGAGTTTAGATAAGATAGGTTGGTTGGTTTGTTTGTTTTTCTGGAGAAGGAAGACAATAGCAGATTGCAATACCAGATGATGATACATAGGTGAAAATTCAGAGCTGGCCATGATGGCAGTTGCATGGTGCAAACTAACCGCATCAGTGGAGTGAATTTCTAGGGTGGAAGAGGAAGAATACAATATGTGATTGCGTTACTGGTTTGTCTGACCAGCATGGCAGCCCTGGCCATGGTATGCTGAAAGAGATTGGTCGAGAAGTTCTGGGGCTTCTGAGGAAACTAGAACTCCACAATAGGAGAGGGAGGGAGGTTTTTGTATAGATAAGTAACTGGTTGAAAGCTAGATATTAAATACAGTGTTACCACAGTGAAGCTAGATTATCAGTGGAGTTACGCTGATGTTCAACATACTTTCTTTTGCAGGTTGTTAATTAATAGGTAAGGTGGGAAAGTTTGCAGCTTATAAAAAGTTATTCAGGTGGGAAGGACAAAGACTGGCTGAAAAATTACAGAACAGGTGTAAAAAGCCAAGGGACTTGGCAATAAAAAGGCAGATGAAATTCAGTGTAGATAAATGCAAAGTGATACACAAGGAAAAAAAAACAAATTCTAACTTATTGTGTAAAATGATGAACCTTACCTTGACCTGTTACAACTAGAGAGTAGGTTTGGGGACTATGATACATAATTCTATGAAAACATCACCTCAGTGCTCAGCAGGAGTCACAAAAGCAAATAAAACATTAGGAATATAGGAGAGAAAGAGAGAACATAACATGTAAAACCATATAAACCACTAAAACCAAAGTTTACTCTAATTTTAAATACCTTATGCTGTTTTGGTGTCCTAATCTTAAAAAAAAAAATAGGAGAAGAAGGGCGAAAGTAGGAGAAATGTGATGATAGATATGAAATAGCTTTCATACAAGGAGTGACTCATTAAGCCAAAACCGTTTAATATGAAAAAGGGTATAAGGAGGGAAATGATGGAGATGTACAGAAACTTGAGGAGAATAGAATAAATAAAATGGGAACTTCTTTTGACTCCTTTCCATTACAAGTATTAGAGGTCATCATGTCAAATTGGCACATCTATATGGAACTTGCCACAGATATTGTGGATACTAAAAGCTTTTATGGATTCAGATAGTGGTTGTATTTAATTGATATTTCTTCCATGAATTTGCCCCAAAATACCTCTTCTGGTTTAGGAAAGATTGCTGGATGCTGGTAGACTTCAGAGTCAAGATCCCCACATTTGTGCCTGGACCTTGTTTTCCTTGGGTAACCCGGGTTGGTCATTTCTGGAGGCAGAACAGGAGATTAGACAAAACTTTGGTCTGACTCTGTACAAGTTGTGTACAAATGTATTTAGTAAAAGGTTTTAACATGTATAGTTCAGATTACAGAATGTAGTATAGGCCTTCACTATACTCCTTCAGTTGTAGCTAATCTGTTTCAAAGGTATCTGAAGTAAAATACCGTTGATACAGTATACTTAGAAGGTAGAGTATATATGCCCAGACACAAAGACCTGGTGAATTTGAAATGCAACGAGCCATACTCATTTCATTCAAATTAATTTGCTTGTTTTGTTTTAGTGCTAATTTTCCTTTTAAGTGTAGCTTTTTTCTTTCAAATCTGCTTAAGCTGTGTCTTTCTGAAAAAAACCCCACATGTTCGACAATAATGATCATGCTGCAAGTTGTCCTTGGTATGCTGCTATTAATTTTTTGTTAAGTGGTGGGTTTTAATGTTCTGTAAATCAATAAATTGATGTGCAATGTCGTTATTAATTTGTCATAATTAATTTTAAGATACGCTGAATCAAATGACACTATCAGACTTTCATTTATAATTCAATTTTCTGTAATGCTCTGAGGCTTGAAAAGTATCTTTACTGATTAAAATTCTTTGTCATGGCAATTTTATTTTCCCTTTCTTTGAGTTGCTGTAGCAAAATTCTCTTTTGGTTAAATCTTGTTTCCAGAATTGGAGGGTCTCTTTCTGTGTTTGGCTCTAAAGGGAAGACAGGTTTAATATTTTCAGTCTGAAAAGATGCTATCTGATGTGAAGAACAAAGTATAGCATTATTATAAAAAGAAAATGGGACTTTTTCAAGGAGTACAGTGTGCTCTAATGTATTAAAATGCTTGTTGGGTGAAAAGCATTATGTTTTTAAGAAAACGAGTACTTGTGACTCAAATTGCTTAGATCTTAGATCTTGAAAACCAGCAGAAAAATCACTCTTGTAGTATTACTGAGCTAACAAAAAAAGGGGGGGGAGGAATGCATCAAGTGTAACATTTTATTTGTGATGGAGAGTGGTATGCTACCATTTCTTTTTAAATGAGAAAGCTACCAGTAAGATAGGACCATATCATATCAAAAGATACAAAAAACAATCAATCTAGATGTCACAGGCTATCCTCCCCTATCAACCCCAGGATTTTCCTTACAGAATTGATGTGATGTTTCCCCTGAAGAATAGTTTATATTAACAATCAAGTGTTTGATTTCAGACCCTGATAGTGTCATTTTTACTGATCATTATACAAAACCTAGAAGTAAATTTTGATAATTTGGCCATGAAAAATTTTGTTATAGGTAGTGCTGTAGTATGAACTGACAGATGTGATAACCCTTACAAAAGTATTTAAATACAATTATTATATCTCTGAGATATAACATTAAAAACAAATTCAGTAGATGGATGACATTGCTTGTCTGTCTTTTAGTTAACGTTCTGGCTTTAAAATTTCAAGTGGTTTCTTCTTTTGAATGTTTTTTTCAGAGTTGATGTTAGTATTAATGACTAATGGATATTTGCCATTCTGTTGTGGATTAGATCTCCTTACTGAAGCAGAATCTGGAGATGCAGCTTTCCCAGTCACAGAGCTCTTTGCAACAGCTACAAGCCCAGTTCAGTCAGGAGCGACAGAGACTGACTCAGGAGATCCAGGAATTAGAAGAGGAGCATCAGCAAAGGCATAAGTCACTTCAGGAAGCCCATATCCTTGCCTTTCAAAACATGGAAGAAACAAAAGAGCAAGAACAAAAGGCATGTTTGTATGGATATTCTGAATTATGCAGAGAATGTTGCCATTTTAGCGATTTATGTACACAGTTGGAATTAGTAAAGAAAAGTATCTGCATAACTACTAAATTTCCTTTTCAGCTGATGTCTTATAGTAACATTTTTATCCGGTTAAATCTGATTAAGACATTGAAAATCATGTCTAATACTGGCATTGGTTCATGTCTTGCTTTATACTCTACCAGTATATGCATATATATATGGGTGTATATATATGTAAAATTATTATCAACACACACGTTTCTTTACAGTAGTTTGATACTGTTATCCGTAACATTATATTCTAGTTTTGATTTGGAATAGGTTTCTCTGTATTTTCCATTATAATTACCTAATTTTGCATGTGTTTTCTGATATTTCGTCAATTGACTCCTTTTGTAATGTATTTTATATTTTCATTATATTAAAAATTGTATAAACTATGTTCTGCAATTTGCAAGATAATTTTCATGTCTAGAACAATGTCACACCCAAGATATTTTTTAAAACCTTGACTAAACCAGTTTTAAAATTGAAATTTTGGCAGTGCAGGGTACTTAGTAGGGTATATGTCTTAAGTTTTTTTTAAGTTCAGATCTAGAGTGTTCCTTTGCAATCAGTTTTCCCGTTGTCTGCACTTAATGTACTTTGGTTCACATCATAGGCTGGTCTTGGAGCACACAAGGTGGATTCCTTTTGTTCGAAGTGGAACTAGAAAATGTGCACCAGGAATGTTATGCTTCATACACTTCAATAGGGAATAAACATGCATGTCAATGGGGAGCAAAAATCCCCAAACGTGTATTGCGTGCACACTAGACCCATCTATGGTTCTGCACCTCATCACATTGCTTGCTATGGAAATATATCCATAGATTGTTGTTGGGTTTTTTTTTTTCCTCTTTTCCAATTGTGAGCAGAACAGAGTTTTTGTGCACAGGTAATCTTGATAACCATCAGTCACTGAAAAGAAAAAATATAGTAGTAGGATAACTTAGTGAGAGAAGAAAATATTAGCAATATTAGTGCATTTTTAATAATTTCTAGAGTATGCCAATGCCTGCTTTTTGTTGCCAGTTGTTTACTGTTTAATATTTTATAAATTTCCTAAGCTGGTATAGAATAAATTTTGTCAATTTTGATTTCATAGGAATTAGAAGAACGTTTACAACAGAAGCACTCAGAAGAACTGCAGGCACTGAAAGAAACACATAAACAAGCCATGGAAGGTTTCAAATTGGAGATGGAACAGGAACTTCAGACTCTACGATTTGAGCTGGAGGATGAAGGAAAAGCTATGTTAGGTATACTATTTTCAGATTTGCAAATGGGTCAAAAACATTATTTCTACTCATACAAATATACGTGCACATATATGTGTGTGTGTATTACAACACTGTAGTGTATCTCAGAGTCATTCAATGTTGACCTAGTTGTTCCTCTTAAAAACAGGATAAGCTTTAACAGGTAAGAGCAAACTGTTCACTTTTGAAAAATCTTACCCTTAAGTTTTTTTGGAAGGAGTAAGCGACCAAATTTCGTGATGGAGAATGTTTCAGAAAGTAACAGGAATAGAATGACAGGACAGTTGCTTAGCTGATGTAAACAATGTGTGTTAGGTCGGCAGCAATACTTGATGGAGCTGGACTGTTATTGTTAATGTAAACATTTGCAAATAAACTTTTCTTTTTGTTCATGGTAACTAGCTTCCTTGCGCTCAGAGCTAAATCATCAACATGCAGCAGCAATTGACCAGCTAAGGCACAACCATCAACAAGAACTGGTAGCTGCCAAAATGGAGCTTGAAAGAAGCATAGAACTCGGCAGGCGACAGGTAGGAGGCATTGCTGGCAACTGACTGTAAAATTGCATATTCAGTATTCATTTTCTCTTAGCTGGAGGCAAGAGCTGTTGTGAACAAACAACAAATGTAATTCTTCAAAGTCAGCCAGCACTAGCAGATAATGCATCCCTACCAGTTTACCTAAACTTCCTTGGTTAGCTTTTTCTTCCTTCATCAAACTTCATTCGAAGCCTAGCAAAGGCTCCCATATCAGGCAGTTTCCTCTCAGAATTGTGCAGCCGTCTGGGAGCACACTGGCTTGCTGTGGGAGGAAAGTGCCGATTCTCGCAAAATTCTACTCGTCCTCAGCTGCCAGCAGAACTTAAAAAGTAAAGAGCTGTTTCTCTCCAAAGCCTAAGTGATGTGGCTAGGAAGTGGGTGCTGAAAACGAAATGATTGCATCAAACTTAAGAGGTAGCTTAGTATCTTTTTTTTTTCAGGAGCCAAATTGGAAAAGATAAATTACCATCTAAAGAAAGCAGAGAAGACGACATAACAGCTTGCAACTGTTTATTAAAAAAAAACCAAACCCAAACCAAAAAAACCCAAAACAAACCCCCAAATCCCAAAGCCAGTATGGACTGTCTTTGCTTTCAGTAGCGAACTGATTCATTCACTTTTATTTTTCACTTTTCACTTTATACACAATCAGTTTTTCTAGTAGTAACTAAAAATTCAAAGCTTGATCTCTATTGAAAGGAAGCCAGACTCCTGGAAATAAGAGGACCAGAAAATTACTTCTTTATTTGCTTATACAATAGGCTTTTCAGGATTGATTTACTGATAGTCCAGCACCAAGGAGGTGGAGTGGTTTTAGAAATGTATTAACAGAGGAAACAGGTTTAGTTGGATATAGTCTTTACACAAAAACGGAGACAGTCAAAGATGAGCCCTTCTTTTTCTCTTCCTTGCTGGTTTAAAAGTGTTAGCACTGGAGGCAAAAATGTGGTGCTCTCAGCAGTGAACGAAAACAGGCAGGATTTAAGAGGATGTAGTTTCAGTCATGTATTGTTTAAGCCTAGAGTGAGAGACACCTAAAGGAGATGTCAGGAAAAAAGGTTTAAAGTACAAGAGCAAGTGTTTGATCCAGCCAAATGCCATATACTTTTGGCCTCAGTACAATGATCTGCTAAGCACGAGCTTTAGTTGTACTGAGGGCAGAGCAATTAATTGTGTTTACCTGTGTTAGAATGCTCATCAGTTCACAGGATCAGAGCTGAACTAGATGCAGAGAGGTCTGAGCAGGATGATTATATTTGCTACTTTTTGAAATATTTAAAAATGTGGATATAAGTTTTCCACTGCTTTTTCATATAACTTTAATATAGTCTTTCTGTAGGGAGGTAGAGAGTTATTTTTAAAGGTCTATTCTTAAAGATGTCCTATAAAATTTGTGCATTAGGATATATTTGTATTTCCTGGATGCATGAAGGCACAAAACACAATTGTACATAAAACTACTTTGAAATATCTGCTGATTTTCTATCTGTGCAAACTATATGGTCATTAATTATTGTGAAACTGTAAGAAGTGGAACAGATGGAAATGGAAAGCTCTGAAAAAGGTTGATTTTTATTATGGACTTTTTCTAAACTGAGGCAAATCATTATCAAAACCATTGGGATGGGTTTCCCAGATGTTAACTTTATTGGAATTTCTTATGAAAAAAGAATGACTTTTATTGACTTATTGGACACAATATAAATATTACATAAACTATTTAGCACGTATTCTGCTGTGAAATATTTATGACCCTTCTGTTTATATATATGTAAGATAGGAGACTTCTGAATCCTAGTGTTCATTGGTGCAGGGCATACATCTTGAGCTGTTTTGTCCGATTGTATGGGGCTGTAAATGGAAGAACAGTTTCTCTATATCGTCTATTGAAGAGGTAGAAAATGCTAAATGCCCAGCCCCCTGTTCTTAGCGGTATCTGTTTTTTTGTTGTATGTGTGGGCAAAAGGAAAACATCATGAGCTACACAAACCTTAACAGGCAATGACAATGACAGGTTTTAAATTTTCTCGCAAATGGAAATTTTGTTACATAACTTTGATTTCTTTTTTATTTGTACTTGTACACAATAAAAAAACACCTCAGTTTTAATTAAAATTTGTGTCAGCATCAAGAACTGAAAAAAATGTCTATGAGTGGAAAATTCTGCTCAGCTGTTATCTTCCAAAAGCAAGTATTGTGCTTCTAAGAGAGAAGTTTATTTAAAATCTTTTTTGCTACTGCTACTTATATTGCAGGAGAAAGAATTTTTATGCCGAATATCAGATCTACAAGATGAACTGAGACACCGTGACCATCATATAGCTGAACTGGACAAAGAAATTCTGCATCTTCATGAAAATATAAGTGCACTGACCAAGGAATTAGAGTTTAAAGGGAAAGAAGTTCTTAGAATACGCAGTGAATCCAACCAACAGATCAGGTATGAATTTTTCCACTTTAAACTCAGATGTGTATTGTTTCAGGTATTGTTTTACTTCAGAAATTTTACCATTTGCAGCTTTTAATTTATCCTCTTAATCAAGTGATGTTATACATAATTTAGTTGTCTTTAGAAAAAACTATGCCCATTACTACCAAAGTTAGTGAGTATTACCATACAGTTAAGCTGCATTTCAGTGATACATTTTAGTAACAGTCCGCTCAAGTGTTGGTTTTTGGTTTTTTGGGGTTTTTTTTTAATTCATTATGTTTGTTTATTTAAAAAAGCATTAAAGGAGATGCATTTTCCATGAAATAAGCTAGAAGACTGGATGACAGTAAGTAGTGGGTTTTGATGAATCAGTAATTCCTTCTGTGTTGTCTGATATTGTGTAAAAGCCATTAGAAGTATGGCAGAAAATCATGATGAACAAACGAGTCTGATCTTAGAATAACTCTTCTTTTAACAAAAAACAAATTAAACAGGATGCATGAGCAAGATTTAAACAAGAAACATGAGAAAGAGCTGGATGTCTTGACAGCAGATCACATCAGAGAGAAACAAAGCATGCTGGCAGATTTTAATAAGACCCAAGAGCTGCTCAAGGAAATTAATTCAGCTTTACAAATTTCGTAAGTTTTGTTGTGTTAAAAAAATTTGTATGTAGCTGCGTTTGAGTGACTAGTTTATTCTGGTATTCCATAAGTTGCTGAAGATATTGCAGAGATGCAGATGTGCAAAAACCTCAATCAAGTATGGGGCCTAATCTTGCGTTCTTTAGGCAACACAATTCTGTAAGCTTTAGGGGAGTTTAGTGAGATAAATTGTTAGGGATTTGAGACCGAAAAATTTCAAGTAGGAAAGATATTAAATCTTAGTTCTTAGAAAATTGGAGAAAACATTATTTCAAATGTTTTTTCTCAAACTTTGATACATCTTTTTTCAGAGCACAAGAGTTTCTTCAACAAGTTTATAAACAGTACAATATTTGCTATTAAGAAGTCTGATTATAGCATGAGTGATGCAAACATTTTCAGGTTTGCTAACATAAGGAAAATTAGTGTCTGAAATGGATTATATGAGCATAACAGTAACAATACTTAGAATGTCTCTGAGTCAAAATGCCACCTGGGGTTAGACCACCTCTGGGCAGAAGTGATGTAGTAGCGTGTCGTCTGGCCGGTGTTTTCCTGTCTTCCACATCCTTCATTCTTTCTCTCTGTCTGTGATGTGACCCATTTGGTCAGGGTTTCTGGCTGAGGTTTCATAGCGCATTGAGGGCTTCCCAACACAAAGTTGTCACTGAGGGATTTGTATTTGCAGCACAAAAGATTTATGGCAGAGAAAATAATTGGTTTTAAGTATACGATAGAAAACTTTTTTAGGTAAATATCAATTAAAAATGGACAATAAAGCCCAAATGACTCTAATTCTTTCTTGATAATGAGCACTCAAAAATTGTCTTCAAATAGGATAGGTATAAAATTCTAAATCTTACTCCCTTGTAATAGTTCACATGCACACTCTCGTGCCCTGATAAATGTGGTAACTTGCCATTCAGTAAATTAGATGTAAACTACCTCCTGTTTACTGCATTTATCTTGTATGAGAAACATGCCTATGAGCAGCCACCAGAACTAGGTTTTGGAACTGTTTACCTAACTTTTTCTCCTATGAAGTTGTTTGTTCTTCAGTGTCCTGAAATTTTCTGAATTTAGTTGGTTCCCTACTCTGGTTCTTGCTCAACTTAGAGCTGCGAGGAAGCAGCCACTGGCCTAAAGACAGCAAACATTATCCAGGGTGCCCTGACCTGGCTTTCAGTGTGTTATCTCTCTCTATTTACACTGAAGCAAGGAGCTGTCAAAAGAGGAAACTATGTTAAAAAAAAAAAAAAACCCACAAACAAAACTAGAAGAATTTTATGCAGCTATTTCTTAAGTAACTGTTTCCAGGTTCGGCCTCACCTAAAGCATGGCCTTGTGAACCTTTATGAAATGGAGAATCTATCTTACAGTAATTGAGTGGGTATCCTTAATGAGGCTTTACAACTAGAGTCTTTAAATTACATATTATCTCTTTGAAACAGGAAAAAAAGCAGTTCTCTGAAATATCTGAAAATGAAATGACAGCTGTGCGTAACGATGTACTATACTCTGGGGATCTGTATACACTAGCTTAACCCAGCATAAAATGTATACACAAAAATTAAGCCAGCTGAGCATATTTCTGTTCTGCTGTGTCAAATGCCTTTTCTGCAAATAAAAACAGTCATGTTGTTCACATTCATAATGTTTTATGTAAATACATTATATAATCTCCTCAGATTATATGTACAGGTTATTTGAAGGTTATAATTTAATATGAACTGTTTTTTCAGATGCAATTCAAAGTAAAAATCACATAGCTGCTTCTGAAGGGAAAATATTTATCTAAAGTCAGAAATTATGTCTACTTCCAGCTATCTTGTGGAACTAAGTTTGAGCTGACTTAGACACTTTAAATTTGTAGATTTTTCTCAGGGTTTGTTTGGGATTTTTTTTTTTTAATTTCTCTTTTTTCATTAAGTTTTGTTAAATTTCCTGAATCTGTTCTGAAACTTTGTTCACTAATCTGCATGAGGGCTGAGTATGTGAGACAAATATTTTAGTAGTTTCCCTTGGAACAATGTTTAGCATCATGAGACAGTCATTTGAAATTGTTGTGTCTTCAAAACTTGTTCTTTAAGAAGAAACAAGGAGATTTATGCAGTTACTTGTACAATTCCTCTCTCAGTTGGCTTATTTCACTTCTCTCCTTTAATGCTTTCCCACCAGGCATTTCAAATTTCCTCCTATTTTTTTTTTTCAAATGCTTATCAATTGTGACATTTCTCTTAATCCAGATATCCTAATATCCAAGTGTTACTGTTTTTCTTGTGCAGCTCATTCCTTTATTTCTTCTCTAACGGTACTAAGTTGCTTTTGTGGAGAGGAATTAGTTACCTGTTAGTCTTCACGTTCTTGGATATCTTTGTCCCAATATGTTCCACACATGAACTGAGGAAACAGTGCTAGCCTTGTCTGTCTATGAGTTTCTCTAGTATCACAAGCATGCATCTTTATTCAGAGTAGCCATCTATAAAAAGAGTAATGATACTGTGTGTTATTCTCATCAAGAAAGTGAATTGCTAGCTTTTAAAATTTATGTTAATATTACATATAGTGCAATGTAGTCCCTATATTTTATATGAGAATCAATCTTAGCTATGTCTTCTGTAATTCTACTGTCCATATTACAGTTTTGAATGCCTTATTTTCAGTTTAACTTCCAAAAGGCCTTTCTTCAAACACCTAGTACTGCATGCACAAAAAGGATGTTAAGTTTTTAGAATTCTGCCCAGATTATTAGTTACTGGAGCAAAGGTTATGGTTGTTGTTGATTTTTTTGTTGTTGTTGTTTTAACTAGCTGAAGCTGAATGATAACATAGAAATTAATTTACTTCAAGATGATAAGAAAGTCATCTTTTTTTACTCCCTGAACTCTCTTTTGTGCTAATCAAAGATGTGACTGTTCACTCATCATTTAACACTGGATCAGGCTAAAGAGGGTATTCTTCTTTCCTATAAAGTTTAGAAGAAATGGAAGAAAAATATAAAAACAGAGAATCAAGACCAGAAGACTTGCAGCTTATCTCAGAACTGAAAGACCTAATTGCAGAGCGGGACCAACTCATAAAGAAACTGATTGTAAGACTTTTATGCTCTCGTGGTTTAGTATCTTGACAGATATAAAAGTTCATGTAATTCAAAGTGCTTGAAATGTATTTAAAGAACTAATCCTGCTAGCATGTTGTTCATATTCCTTAACACATTATTCCTGTAGTTCCAATGACTCATAAAACTAATTAGATACAGAGAGTTTTGCACAATGAAGCATAATACATTATTACAAAAAATATTTCAGTATGACCTTGATCAGACGTCTCCTGTCTCCAATCCTGGAATAAGCCAGCCATGTAGGCCATATAAGAAATAGTCTCTTCTATGAGGTTTCTAAGACCAATTTCCTGATCCACTGAGCTTCCCAACTTCCGAGCACAACACTCTCACTCAGATTAGTCTGATTAGATCCTGATTCAGAGGCAAGAAGGAATGAGGAAATTCAAATTTATTAGAGATCAGAAGTTAACTATACTGAGTCTTTCCCAGTGCATAATCCATTAGGCTATGCTCACTCTCAGGAGCATAGAACTGCAGCAGAACTGCAAAAATAGAAATTATTTAGTATTTACATATAATAATATATAAAACATACTAAATATGAAATGCAATTTTTAGAATTACCAGGTTTTTTAGAAACATAAACATAAATTTATTTGAGATCATTTTATAGGCAGATTTGGCCACTAACTGATTGAAAATGCATAAAAAGAAGTTTCTATTTGTTCTTCTTTTTAGGAGGACAAAAAGTTCTATCAGCTGGAGCTAGTTAACAGGGAGACTAACTACAACAAAATGTTTAATGCAAGCCCTAATGTTGGTGTTATTAATCCATTGGTGAAGGTATGTTCCATGGACTTCATTGCTAAAGTGAAGAAAAAGAAATCTAAACTTAGGATATAGTAAACAGAAGAAATGTGTGTGTGTGTGCCTGTGTGTATACATATATCACTCTTAGAAGACACGTTCAAAACAAGGAACATAGTTTTCCATCTGTCTCTACTTATTTTTGTGTAGGTTTGTTTCTTTTGTGTTGTTGAAAGATCCACTGATATTGTTGCCCTAGTTTGCTAGACGTGTATGACATAAAACACAGTTCCTTCTCACAAAACTGCAAAATCAAAATAGAAAAGTGACAGAAAGGCAACAGACGGCAGGACTGTAGCATACAATAGAGAACAGTGACACCTGTAACGAGTTTTAGTTTATAATTTTTCTTGATTATTTCAGAAAGTGCAAGGGCAACTTCATTTTTCAGGTGGTGCTCAGGGTGGAAGAATGTTAGAAAGATAGAGGGAGAGGGGACACTAAAGGAAGGGAATAAGGGTAAAAAGGGGAAGGAGGAGAGTATGAGAAGGGCATGGAACGAGTCTGAATGGAGACAGAGTAATACTGGAGAACTGGAGTGACAAACCAGGTATGGACTGTGGGCGCAGCAGGAGATGGAAGTCAGTCTCTAGCCTTCTCAGTTATTGTCACCTCCTATACCAGTGAAAACACTTCAGTAGCAACGTTTTCCAGTTCTCTCCATCCAGTAGCCAGTGAAGGCTACTGCACAAGCAGGCATAGTAGCCTCCCTGTCACTTCAAAAGCCAGCAGCATTCCTTCATGAGGCACATGAACAGACTCCGGTAGCGTACCTTAATTCTATTTCTTTTCACCACTTCAGGAGTAAGAATGAGTCCTCTGACATTCCTTCCTCCTTGAGATAACCCATAGGTTATTTCACCTGCATGGAAAGGGAAGAGATTTGTCCCAGCTGTAGAGGCGGAAAAATTCAGTAAGGTTCTGAAGCAGAGGGTAACCCAAGGGGCACAACATGAGCAGCTCAGATGCCCAAGAGCTTCAGTGATCAAGGTTCAGGCCCCATTCTTTAAAAGGAGGTCTGGCTCCATTATTTGGGATCAGGCTGTGTTATTTAGCTAAGCCATATTGTAGTTTCACATCACCGTATTTCCCACTTTTGCACAAACTGTGCTGCAAATTGTCAATATTCTTCTGCGTTTTTCAGGAGCCCAGCAGCTCTCTCAAGCTTATCTATGGGTGCCTAACTTTTGTGCATAGCTGCAGAAGAGAACTTAGTTTGGGCTCAGTAGAGACAATACCAGGACTGCCAGATACAATTTGAATGCTTTGTTTTTATGTGATAAAGGTTGTTCGAAAATTTTGGAAGTTTGTCTGAACCACTCATTTATAAAGATGTGAAATGTAACTGTCAAGTATATAAGCTTGTGTTTTGTGTGAAATCTGAAGTGTTTGGGAAAAGTACTTCAACATCAGATTTCCATAGTGATAAGTCATATATTTTTATAATATGCTTCTATCACTTAAAACTGTTTAGACTTTAAAACTGTCTTGTATGCCAGAACATTTTGATCTCTCATTTCATGACTTGTGGACTATGTTACTTTATTTTGTCGAAGCATGTACTGTGTTATTGGAGAATGAATTACAAAGAAACTGAAAATCTCATTCTCTTTTCTTTTTTGTAATAAAAGACAGAATTTATGAGTTACTAGAGGCTTTGCATATTAATGCAAAATTACAGCCATTGCAGTATGTATTACAGCTGCACTAATTTATGCAATGGATCTGTTTAGTATTACATTGTTACATCTGAAGTTTCTTAATACTTTGCATGAATTTCATGGAAACAATACACACAATTTTGTCTCTCCAGATTTGACTGCTTCAGAAGCATAGATTGTTTTATAGAGAATAAGATATAAACACTAATATTTTTCTAAGCACTTACGTGGATAATGTACCTTTTCCAGAAATGAGCCACCTATGAAGTACACAGATATAACTACAGTGTTTTTAACACACAGTTTTAATTACAGTGCATATTACTTTGCAGATGTATTTTACATACAGCTGGTTACTTTTACCAAACAATTTTTTTCACCATTCTGTTATTTCTTGCTTCTTCAGCTACTACAGAAGTAGTAAAGTGTATGGGATCTTAGTGTAATCCTTTGCAGCTAATGATCTTTCACTGTGATGCTGAAAAAAGACTTTTTTCTATTACAGCTTTGTGTTAAATTGTTGGTGTTTTTTAATTGTATTTTGACAAGCACATCCACCAGTGTGGCTACAATTAGTAGCATTTGCATCTGCCAACCCTGGAGAGGTCAGGCACTGAAATCAAAGCTAGCAGAGAGCTAAACAGAAGAAAGTACGAAAAAACAATAGGACTCTGTCTGTCTCCCTTTGAACTTGTGCCCACCCTTGAATAGAGCAGCTCTTCTCTTTCAAGTGGAATTCTGCTGGAAAATATTATATAGAAACAACATGAGATTCCACTTGTCTGTCACTTTATTTCGTTCAAATTTGTGTAGTTCATAAGCCCTTAGGGGGTTGTTCTCCTAGCTGCTTTGTTAGGGTTGCATATATGTAATTGAATGAAAGTATTTATTTTCTATTCAAATGATACATAATTCATGAGAATAAATGAATCCATTCAAAAATCCTTTTACTGTGGACAGGGAATATTTGATAGAAGTCAGAAAATACACATGGCGTTCTGTCACACAGCTATTTTTAAAAACCTATAGAATTATTTGAAGTATCCTTCTACATTAAAATATCTATAAAAATAGAGAGGATAAATACTGATTCCTTTGTATGATGTGTTATGGAGAGTAAAATACTGATATAAAAATAGAATTCTTCAGTATTTTGAGTCCCCTGAAATACTATCAGTAGGAGTATATAGAGTACTAAGGAAAGAAAAATGTTCGGTTGTGCCATCTGGTGTCTGGAAGTGGCAGCTGTAGTAGCACTAGAAGCCTGGCCTTTTCCTTGTGCAAGAGACTGAACTCCTATACAATAATCTTTTTATCTTTAGCAGTATTGCTATAATGCTTGCTAACTATGAGAGTGTAGTCGCTTTAAAAGAAATGTAGCTGCTTTTCTAGGTTCCATGTTCCAGTTACCAAAATGTGCCTCAGTGATGGGGTGAAACCTGTTGGAGAGATTCACTTTTTTCATCATTGAAATTTCCTGTAATTACATTTGACAGCAGAGCTGTTTCACTGATGTCAAGAAAAGATTTAAGTAAACATGGAAGGTTTAACAGACTAAATGACAATTTTGTGGAAAACTTCCTATCTCCAATGTCTTAAACAGAGCAAAATATTATATTGGAAGATCTCATACAATATATTAATTGATTATTACACTGAGTCTTAATAACTTAATCATCTTGATCAGAAATTTGATTTTTCTGCGAAAATTTGTGGTGTTCAGTTCTGGTCAAAGCAAATAGTAAAACTACATTTGGAAAAAAAGCCCAATCTGTCCCAATTGCTTTCCTTCAAAAAAAACCCAAACCAGCCATCAATACAACTTTTAAATTTGCAAATTTCCTCATCTGTCCTGGTGCAAGAAGCCTTCCTTACATTTGTTATTTTTAATGCAGCAAAAGAAGAAGAACGATAAATCAACAAACAGGTTTGTGAGTGTCCCCAATCTAAGTGCTCTGGAATCTAGCGGAGTGGTGGGCAATGGACATCCTAACCGCCTGGACCCCATTCCTAACTCACCCATCCACGATATTGAGTTCAACAGCAGCAAACCACTACCACAGCCAATGCCACCCAAAGAGCCCAAGACGTTTTTGAGGTGAGCACTGCCTCACCAATCTTTTTTTTTCTTTTTTTCTTTTTTTTTTTTTTTTTTTTTGCTTAACTCAGGAAAATTTTGCATTCCTATTGAGCTGAATCCCACTTGCTTTATGAACCTTTCAGAGGTACAAGTAATCTTACGGCCTTTTTAATTTTTACATTATATTTGTAACCTCTTTATAGTATTCCTTTTTATTGTAGACCTTGTTGAAATGTGAAGTATTCTCTCACTTTTTCATAAGTCTTGAACTTCGAAAACCTCTTTAGATACTTTAACAGAATTCATGTGCTTCCAATTGTTTACATATATGAACAATTGTTTTAAATGTTTGTGTTATTTACCGATTGTCATTTAGGAATTGATACTAGCACGTAATTTTTTTATTCGGTATTATGTGATAATGGTTTTTATGTAAGAAAAGTGTTTTCTGTGCTACATGAATGTTTTGTGTTTCCCCTTTCCTCACCTATATCAAATTGTTTCATAGGAGTAACCCTACTACAGCAACAAGAAATGTGCATGCTTGGATGCTTAATGCTGAGCTTCCAGTGATCAAAACCAGCATTAAAGTCTCCAGTATTCGCTCACAAAGTAATATCACGAATTGAATAACTTAAAAATGGCATTTTAGAGGCAGGATTTTAATCTTTTGGCTTTATGTGCCTATATATTAAATGCACTGAAGTGCTGAACTCTGTATTTAGTAGGTGCTGATCTCTCACCTCGAAGTTGGCAAATTAAAGCAATGTGTAATTACCGGTTCCACAGTTGGTTGTTTACTCTCTCTTTTGGTTTAATGCAAAAGACCACATACCTAGCAACTACTAATTATAAAAGGAAACAAATAATAGAATCTAAAATAGATAAGGGAAAACAGTCTATTTCAAGAAAACAATCTTTTATAAAAAAAATACTGTTGCTTATTTTTTCCTGTGCATGTGATGTGCATGAGTGTGCTCAGATATCTGTAACATGCATGTGCATGAACTCATGGACTGTGATGCTGGAGTTTCCATTCCAAATTGTTTTGTGCTCTATATTATCCAGTAATACAGTAGGGATTTATTTTATTTCTGATTTTTATTGATAAAGGAACTTAATTGTGTAATTAAATTTAAATTAGATTTAAATATTCTCTCTTTCTCATTTTGTGAGAATTTTAAGTGTTCAAGGGGGAAACAAATCTTGTTTGCAGTGCAGCAGTTTCTTTTTTCCTAGTATATTAGCATATTTTAAATGTGTGCATGAACAATGCAAGTGATACTTGTGATCAGTGTTAAGTATTAAAATAGTGTGTATTTTTGTTCAGTTGCCAACCAGTCTTTGTGAGCACATGTCTACAAATATGATGCTCTCATCATATTTTTGAAAATTAACTTTACCACAGGAAAAGGATGCTAAAAGAGGACCTTCTACAGTCACACTTTTCCAGAAAACCCTTTTTATTCTTCCTGAAAACCTACAGCTGTTTATGAGATTTTAAATTATGTTTTCCAAAATATTATTTGCCCACCCTGTAATGTGGCTTCTGAACTGACTTGTCCGTGCTGCTGATGCTCTCCAATGGAGTGGATGATCACAGATTCTGTAGCGAGACATTAAATCATGTCTGAGGCACACTGATAATTAACCCATGGAAAAACAGACTGTGTTCTTTACTGAATATTGTCTTTGATTTTTTTTTCTCCTAACACTTGTACTTTTTGTGTAGTTGTGGGGTAATTGTTGTTTTTGTTTTTGTTTTTTTTTTCTTTCTGTGAATTTAGCCCTCCTCAGACTGACGCTTCGCCAGATCCACAACGCCAGGAGTGGTTTGCCCGATACTTCACGTTCTGAGAGATGATTTGTTTTTGTGGCACAGCGTGATGTGGACTGTTTATAAGAGCATGACCTTAAGTAAACCCTCATGTGAACAAGCTTTCCTGTAATTTGTCAAACACTGTGAATGAGAAAGTATTTGTCTTTCTGATTGGAAACTGCACTGTATTTCATGTTATATTTGTTGGAATCACTTGACATGGTACTATAAAATGTGTGTAATTATAGCTATTATTTTTCTTTAAAATGGAAGAATCTAAACTTTGTAATTACTACATAATAAATTTTGGTAGAACAAACATAATGCTTTCCCCCTTTTTCCTATAAATGTGTTTTCTTTGATTTCAGGTAAGGCTTTTCCCCCAAAATAACATAATTGCATGGTTACTATAAATACAATTTAAATTGTAAAAGGAAAAACTATATATATCTCGCTCTCCAATTAGGGCAGGATATGTTTCATGCATCCCACTTCTATTCTGTTACTTTGTAGCAGTTTAAGAACTGTCTCTTTCTAAATTTAAAAGGAAGAATGTGAAATAAATCAAAACTAGTGTAGCTGCTAGCCTTCAGAGCAGAGTAATTTTGACAAGAGGATGAAAAAAGCCACAAACCAGGAGCTGTTCATTGGGGGGGGTTGACTGCTTACCTGTTGCTCATGAGATTTTGCCATTAAGTTATAACCAAACATTGTATCATTGAATTTAAGCAGAAACTATTCCCACAAGTTATGTATTTCTTTTATGAATATTAACAAAAACATGCTTGAAACATTTAGAATACTGTACTAAGTATCTGCATAAATGAAGAATCTACATTTTGAGCATATAGTCCTGCTTTGGATAAAATTCATGTCTGAAATGAAAAAAAAAAAAAAAAAAAAAAAACAAACAAAAAAACCCACCCAACTTTTCCCCATTTATACATACTACAGATACAGATTTTTCATTAAAACTTGATTACCTTCCCTTGTCTGTATTAAAGTTTTTTCTTCTTCTTAAACTGATATATGAAAATGTTTTTTCAGCTAGTGAGCATGATTCTCCAATCTACACCTTTTATGATGCCAGTGTTGCTCAAGAAATTTGCTGCAGCATATAGAAAATTAGAGCTTACTGTCTTTTTTATATTTTTTCATTCAAAGATTACCACAAAGTAACTCACACTGGTAGTCTCAGGGAGAAAATTGTCTCTTTGTTTTATGAATGTATTTTTAAGCTGAATCTCTTATCTTTTAAAAGCAGGAAAAAAATGTTTGAGTTATTTGAATAAGGTTTTAGTTAGCATATACAAAGGTCTTGAACTTTAATATTTCATCTGAAGCCCTAACTACATCCTTTTTTCGCTATATGCACAAAGGTAAATACCCAGATGAAGATACTTGCTAATTACAGTGAGTTTTATATGTAGTATATGTATAAATGAAAAATTTGTATGTTTTCGTATAAACAATATAAACTCTTCTAAATGAACATTTTAAAACTTCTATCTTACAATTCAGCTTGAAAACTCCACTGGAAGCTGTATTCTGGTGATGCTGCCGTGGGTTAAAGATGTATACAGCAGATTTTCTGTAGCTGGTGGACTCAATTGTAGGTATATGCAACTTTTTAATTTTTAGAAGAAAGCCATACTGGGCAAAATGTCAGATTTCTTGGCTGTTACCCAAAATAAAATACACTAGCTCATTTTGTTACAATGTTCTGAAGTGAGTGTTGCGTATTTTTTCTTGCATGCTCTGCAAGGGCTCAGCCTTTTTCTCCCATCCTCCACTTCATTTGTACATTTTTAAATATGGAATTAACAACTGAACGGTAATCCGAAGATGATAATATCTGCATTTACTTTACCTATCCACTAAAAGGTGTGCCCATTGGTTTTTTGCTAGTAGGTGTTTGTCTTTTGGAAGGGAGAAGAAGGTTAAGTCAGCAGCAGTTCCACTACCGAATCAGTCTCTTAAAAACAAAAACCATACAAACAAAAAAAGCCCAAAACCAACCAGGAGAAACTAGGAAAAAATTGATTTTCTACCAAATGGCACTGAGAACTCTGCAGAATGTATTCCTAAAAAAAGTTATTATCTGGCATTTGGGATTAATACAGGAACTTGCATTATCACAATGCCATTGTGTTCCTGATTTTTGCAGTATCTGGTATTCTGGAAAAAGCTAAAAGTGCACATATTCGTGAGTCCAGTTGTGCAGAGAGTTCTGCAAAGTCTCTGCTCACACGTGCATGCAGTCTTTCCTAGCTCAACAGACAACTCGGAGTAAGGAGGTACAGAATTGGTGTGAAGTTGCATAGTAGTATTTACAATTGTGGGAAAATCTTTTGGCTCTCAGGAGCTATCTTTCTGCACTCTGACACATTAAATCTCATTATCAGCACTTAGTGTAACTAATTCCCCCAACCCTTTCATTTTATTCAGAAAGAACAATAAAAGGTCAAAGAGCAAACAATAAAGAATGCAGTATTTTAATCCTTACTTTGTTTTCCTATGGAAGAAGGAAGTAACAGGCTATACTTGATACAGAGGCAAAATACAGAAGAATCCTACATTTCATCAGAACGTCACCGTAATAATCAGTCTTAAGGCCAGGTTCGGCCCTTCAGTCTGGATTCCTCCATTTACTTCTGTGATAAGAGTTTGAATGCCAGTGAATTTCCCAGGTTAGCAAAAAACTGCTCTAGCTGACCCGTCTGACACGATCTCATAGCACAGGGAAGAATTACGTCCCGAGAACTGCTTGGCTTTTTTGCTGCGGCAGGAATTGTACCCAGAAGGTATACTTGGGAAAAAAAAGCCCAAAGATGGTTGAAAACAAAGCTGCAATCAGTGCCAACATAGAAATCACTTTATCAGATTGACTTCTTCCTTTTGCATTTTTTTAGTCACTTCAGCATATGTGTACTATATTTACCCGAGACTTCAAGGAAAATATTAATCCTATGAGAAGTACTGGCAATAAATTACGTGGGTCAATATTATAGAATTTTTAACATTCTAATTTAGTCTAAATAAATTTTCACTTCTGTTTTTCTCATGATCTGTTATTTTGGAAGAAAAAACTTGGATTATTTTCCAACTGGTTTGAGTAGTTCTACATTTAACATGTACACATTTAAATTAAAATTAAATGTCAGATTTGTAATCCTTGATCACTTTAAAAAGTAAGAATATCTATGTATTATAAAACTGAAGAATATAGAATATTTAGGGGGGGGGTTGTCTTTTTTTTTTTAAATGTATATATACCTATCATCTTTTCTTCCTAAACATTTTCTCTAATGCTGCAAGAATCTTTGTTTTCATTTTTAAAGCAGAATATTATTTTTTCACTCTTGATGTAGGTATTCTCTGGACCTAAACTTTCCTGCTTTTTGAGACTGGAAAACTCGTTTCCACAAATGACCTCCTTTGATGGGTTGCACTTCAAAACTGAAAGCAGCAGTCCCTTGGAGGAAAAATGCTTTCATTCCTGTAACTGAACATGGAGGGATTCTGAGCAATAGCCCATGTTGCAGCACTTGCCTTTCTGGTGTGGCAGCTGAAAAAAATTGGGGTCCTTTCTTTTCCCTAAAGTGTTAACAAATACACTATCCCAGTAACCATCGCTAGAAAATCCCAATACTAACTTTTGACTAATGGTCATTCACTTTCTTCCCAATTTTAGTCTTACTCTGAAACTCTATTTAAAAACTACAGGACATGAGGAATTCCTAATGATTATCAGAAGACTTCACTCATAATATTAGAAATCAGACCTGATTATGATGTCAGAGCAATCCCTTGCTTGTGTAAGGTTTATTTTAAGTTATATGTGATTTTTGTTACATGATCCCTGTGCTATCCACAAGTAAATTTCACTAATTCTGCATTGAGAGGATTAGACCTCAAGTTTTCCTCCTTTGCTGTAATTTACTTCCCTTAGAAGGAAAATGACTGAGTCACATCACTTAAGAAAATAGTGATCTTGAACCTCCTCTGCAGTCAACAGGCAGCTTCAAGGGTGAACCAGCCCACTTACCTCTCTTGATTGCATAAAGACTGTAGAGAAACAACAAATGTAAGTGCCTTGGTTGCCTAAATTTAGGTGTGAGGAACCCTAGCCTGTCTTTTTTTTTTCTTTCTTTTTTTTTGAACCAACATTTGCAAAAATGCATCAGCTTTGACAGATACAAACTGACTTTCCTTACAGGAGCTCTGTTGCTTTTTTCCTGGTGTGTTCAACGTAGTCCAATACAGTACTGTTACTATTCTTCACAGGCAAATGCTAAACCTTTTTTTAATGAAGGCGAATCTCTAATTTGTAGTATTGTTGTTTAGCTACTTTTGGGCATTGGGCATTGTATGAATTTTATTTATGTATACATTCCCTAGCGCAATCTTTAAATGGCAATATGACTCATTTCCATGTACAATTATATACAGAAATCAGCTTGCAGTTCTAAAGCTAATTTACTTTGCAGTGTATTTTGGTCATATAAATAAACATCCATTTCTTTAGACACGCTACAGTAACTGGAATTACCTGTGGATAGTACTGGGATCACATAACAAAACCAGGCAGCCAAGCTGAAACAGAACTTTTCTTCTTCAGCATGATCGACTGCTGAACTCCATTTCTCTTAATAATAGAACTTGTTATTTGCTGGGCTCAACATTGGGCTCTTTTACCGCACAACTGTGTTAAAATTTATCATTTTCAATCACATACACAATTAGACCACTCAAGTTTTGTTGACTGTACAAACTGCACTGCAGGTTCCTAGGTCAACGATGGGACCTATGAGGTGAACCACTGATCCACTCTAGAATCCTGCATAGATGGGTTTATAAACTGCCTGTCACTAAGGCAACTCAGTTATTTTCAGAGTTAAGTACGGTATAGAGGCCCATTCACAACAAACCGCTGGCTGAACATGAGAAGCAGCTGCTGCCAGCAGCACTGATAGCAATGTTGCTAGGGAACAAGAAGAGCAAGCTTAAGAAAATAAAAGCATAATTCAATAATGACTACCAAAATCTGGCTTCATTATGACAGTGAGTACTCTTGGAAATTATCAGGCCTTCCACGTTCAACTTGACAGACGAACAAAGTTTAGAGAGCGGCGGAGTCTTCAGCTGGAACTATAGCTGTTTAACTTCAGCTATAGATCATCAGTGTGATGGCTGGGCACAGAGAAAAGTCAGCACACCTCGGGCTGCAAACACCACAGGCAGCCTCTGTCACGGCTGGCAACAGACATGCCTTAGGGCAGAGACTGAGGCCCGAGTTTTACGGTCACATGAACATTCAGCCACATTCACGCTGCTTAGTCTAAATCTGTACCTAACCTGCGGGATCCATGAGCCCTTCTCAGCACTTGTGCAGCCTTGCCGGCAGTGTCCCAATGGCACGCTGGAATGGGACGTGTACCAGCCACCCCGACCACGGCATTAACGGGCAGTTCTTGTACTCTCCTGGGACATTTCCAGGTTGAGGCCACACGCTATATTCTGTAAAAATGAAAAACAGAGGAGTTTTCAGTCTTTGCCTTTTTCTTCATAACCCCAC